AGAAACGATAGTGTGATCACCTTTCTTAAATAATGGCATAACGTTTGCCTTTTTTCCACACTGATGGAAATATACTTGATTGTGATATACTGAACAGTAAACACAATGCTTCGCTAATAAAATATACAGTTTTCTTTAATAATTTATGACAAATTTTGTCCGGCCAGGAGGCTTTGTTCAGAGGCAAACATTTTATTATATCTTCAATTTCTTTTTCAGATATGACTTTGTTTTTCATCTATATCTCTGTATGAAATGTGAAATCGGGCATAGTTGTCTCTCTTATCAATAAACATTAGATATAGATTGAAATTATTTATTCATTTTCTCCCCCTTTTAAATTTCAGTAAAGATTGTCGGGTGTTCGTCCGTATTATGCTGTTGTTAGCTGCCTCAGCACAACATTACGTAAAACTTTCCAGTAAGAGGGTTTGTTTTCTGCATGCAATGCTGATAGCACTTCATGGAGGATTGAATAAAAATGTTCTTTAGGGTGACATTTTATGTTATTTCCTTTGTTCCTCTGATTTTTATAGGCCAGAATGTCGCTTTCCGTTTTCTACTTTTACTTTTTCTAGCCTTCTTTTTAAATCTATCTCTTTTCCTGGATTCTCGTCTCAAACTGAAATCATACCAAGGTTTTGTCATTTGGACGAATGGTTACTATTTTGGTTGGAATGCATATTTTAACATATATATGTAAGTATTTATTGAACAGACTACATGCTCCTTCAACATTTGAATTTTGACTAAATAATTCATTCTAGCAAGTGTTTTCAATGAGCGAATTTAGTTTATCATAGAAACCGTTTTTAAAACATGATTTTTTTTCTTTTATATGCTACCTACTGGTATGGTCAGTAATTCTGGTCGGCTCGGTTATGATATTGTGTGGATTTTTCCTATTTATTAATTCAATTACGCTTAAGCTCCAAGACGATAACATATTTTCATTTATGTCACCAACATTAGTAATCTTGCATGAAATATCCAGGGCAATTTCAATGCTATCATATAAACGAGTCCAAAAATTCACTGAATTATGTTCCATAAACGTCAACCATAAACGTTACGTCAGTCTGTCGCCAAAACAGCCGAGTGCCAGTTTTGAAAAAAAATACAATCCCATGTAAAACCACTTCTAGGAGAATAGTGTTTCTTCATATACACTAATTTAAGAGAGACTCCTAAACCCAAGCAGTGTGGTGACCGCCTCGGGAGATCACTATGGCAATCGACCGTCCTATAAATTAAGTCGGGGCAAGACGTATATTGTCTACAATGTCATATAAAGTTTTATAATGTTCACAGTAATCCCACTGGCCAGGAGACATTGGTTCCCCCTCTTCTAACAGTAAGCCCTAGTGAAATATGAGTGTATGGTGTATTTATAGCAGGTGCTTGGTTTCGGCTCTTCACACAACCAGGAATAAAAGGAAATGTGGAAAGAAAGCCCATCACTATAATATAATTTTTTTTTCGCTAATGAAGAACGAAGCGTGGTTTATTTCACGATGAAACTTTGTTCTATCGTGTCGTTAAATCTGGTGATTCGAACATGCTCTTGCAACTTGATGACATCGTAAAATGGACAACGTTATTTTTGAGAGTGAAGTGTCCAGTGAGGCCGAACCATCGCTTCAACAATTGAGAGAGATATGACAATCAGTATTGGGAGAAAAGGTACAGATAGTCGATAGAGAGAGAGAGAGAGAGAGAGAGAGAGAGAGAGAGAGAGAGAGAGAGAGAGAGAGAGAGAGAGAGAGATGTGACAATCAGTATTGGGAGAAAAGGTGCAGATAGTCGATAGATAGATAGATAGAGAGAGAGAGAGAGAGAGAGAGAGAGAGAGAGAGAGAGAGAGAGAGAGAGAGATTATCACGCGAGTGTGTTTAAGGTTGTTAAATATCCTGCATTAGGAATAAACAATACATAGTGTTTTTTCCTAATACTGGATATTTACCATTGACAAACACACAAGCGTTATAACCTCTTTATCATATAGTGTCATTCTTTAATTCTGTGCTTGAAAATCGATTTCCCTCTCTCACAAACATTACCCAAACATTGCGAGTTTTCCTGGAATGCGCGGCTTAATATTTATTACGTCACAGGGTAAGTGATGTGTCAGTCGGACAGTGACAGTAACCAATATAGTTCCAACTGAAATTTGTTTCTTATAAAGTGGCGAAGCAACATATACGCAAAGCAACAATTGTTTTTATTTGCATCTCCATCCACATATTACCCCACCGGATATCATTTTTATCCATTGGCTTTATCCTGCCGAGAAACCAGTTGTCAAAAATCATTAAACTAAAAGGTGAATTCCCAGTTTAGGACGTATTACTTCAAAGTGAAAAAGACGATAACATTGACGTATTTTAGTAGGACAAGGCAAGGGGATCGAACCATTTGTCTTCCACCCTCCAGGAAGTAACACAACAGTGGTACTATTGCCACACAGTTTCGTGATAAAGGACCATCCCATGTATAACCACTTCAAGGAGAATAGCGTTTCTTCATATATGCCTTCTTTAAGAGAGAATCATTAACCCAGGCAGAGTGGAGAAATATATACCGTTTTCATTTCAATGATGGTATTTCAAAGCTTTCTAATATCTTGTTATCATTGTTACAAAAAACGGCTTATGCACGGGTACTCGTTCAGTAATCTATATATCTCAAATCGATCTCAAAAGACGTGATCTGGTGGTCCATTCATATGGATTTCACCGCTGTGTTGCCTTTTGCACCCAGTAGATTCTGTTTCGGCTGATGATCGAGACTGGTTTTTCTCTTGTGTTGATGTTTTATATTTACAAACATTTACAAGTTGTGACGATTTTTGGAACGAGCAACGAGGAATGAGCGATCATCCGTTCCCAGTGAATTAATTTTAATAATTCCGAGCCAAGGCGGGTAGTTATTGTTCATATTACCCATTCTAAGAAAATGTAGTTAAAAGGACAAAAGTCAAAAGAAATATCCAGTGTCCATTGTACGACTCATACTATATCATATCTGTTATTATCAAGTATTTCTTAATGAGTCACCTTCAAAGAGTGATGATTCCAGGTGTTCGACAACTTGGGTTTCTTGGTCTCAAAAGCAGACATTAGCTCAATTAAGGACTGATATCAATTTGTTTGCTTTTAAGGAAGTATTAACGTTACATATTGTGTAAAAGTGACATCGTTCGGTGCAATAATGCGAACCAAGCCTCGCCCACCCTACAATCAGCCAATCAGGAACAGTAGTCAGTTAGAGGGCGTGGCCTAATACTGTTTTGTTTTTTAAAAATGCATGTTTAGCCAATCATGACCATGTAATCTCTTGCAATTTAGAAAAAAATGTAACTGTTATCATGCTCAGTGAGAATCAATGTCAATATGCTGACTTATAGCCGTGCTCTTATGGGAATTATGATCTATGCATTTCGTCCAGGGTAAGTGGCTGAAGTGACCACCCTTTAAAGATCATCTAATCAGGTAGGGCTCATACGTTTCCTGTAGCCTTGTGACGACGCTTTCTCGCGTCAAGCCTCAGGTTCAATTCCTGATGCTGGCGTGTATTAAGAACTGTATACCATCATCTCTTTTGTATCTTCATGCCAAGACACAAGCACAAAATGAGGACTGCTGCTTGCATGATCCAGATGACACATATATAACATATATATAACTATTTTTATTATTCCTCCAAACCAATCAGACGCATCAATGTACAAGGAATACAATTAACATTTAAGTATATTCACATCTTCACCACAATGGCGGTTACAGAAGAATATATCAACACATAGACATCAATATTAACTTGGGGGTATTAGTTTTTAGCAACGCAATCACTGGCAACAGTTGGCATGCCAAAACCCAATCACTGTTTGACATACTGGTACGGCGGACTTCTCTCACATGCGCATGTCACGAGAGAGGGGGATAGTTCCAACGTAATTTCATTTCCTTCACGGGGTGTTGGAGGAAAGCCCAAAGTGACGGGCACAAAGTGACGAAAATGTATACATCCATTCATGATGGTGACTAAAAATGAAACAGATATAAAATAATTATACGAAGGTGATGCGCTTGAAACGGGGATCATAGCTTTGTTTTGTTTTGACTTTAAGCTTGCAGTGTTTCGGCGACAGTTTTCAACCTAATAACATTTTGATACCGTTTGAAAAATATTTTGGTCCAGATTTCAAGCATATACTTTCTATTGCCCAGCAGTTTAGTTCGTGACGAGATTTATCACTTTGTTGAACACCACGATCACAGATATGGTGGTGGCTATCAATGGATCATGGCACGGGCGATTATTAGATTCGGACCACGACCACAGAATCGAGTAAGTTAGATAAGTTTGGATTCATCAATATCTTCTTGTAATATCATTTTTTCAAAATATGAATACCAGAGAGTTAAAAACAAGGTCAGCTTAAGACAATAAATTATTATATATTTTTATGACGCTATGTACAGTCTCCATTATCTTGCACACAAATGCAAAGTTGGATTAGTATTGATTTCTACGAACAAGAGCATCAGGTCTAATCATATGTTAAGGACTTACCGTCCCTTGTGATGAACAATACCTCGTATATAAAACATAGCATTATATTCTTCTAAATATGTTTGGTGGGGGGGTGGGGGGGTGGGGGTGGGGGGGGGGGGGGGGGGTGGGGGGGGGGGGTTGGGGACACCATGTATTTGTATTTTAAATTATAATTACCTTTATGAGAATCTACAATATGCATTTTTTACAATGCTGGATCCCATGTTTACTTCAAAAACATAGGACTCACTTTAGCAAAACGCTTCGCAGAACCTCCTACTGCACACATCCTTATATGTAGAATGAAACTAGAGTGGTGAAGTAAGCATGAAATAACTTGTATAATGACCATTTAAGCATTATCTTCTTTTTGTTGTTGCTTAATATTCAAATCTCAGTTGTTTATATCTCATCTATTAGCAAATACATTTTGTCATGGTACCCTGATGACGTGGATCAATACTCAGGATGCAATCACGTTGTTGTCTGGTCCAGACCCATTGCTTACACGCCGCCGTCGTATTGCAGGATTTGTTTGTTTGGTGTTTAACTTCGCACTCAGCATTATTCAAGCCATGTGACAGCGGTCTGTAAATAATCAAGCCTGGATCAGACAATTCAGTGATTGATATCCTGAGCATCGATCTGCGCAATTGGGATACAAGGATACGCATCAACCAAGTCAGCGAGTCTGAACACCTGGGGCCATAACTGATTTTCATATATTTTTCATCACAAGTCTGCCCTAACGCCCTATAGAATCTGTTTTGACAGATAATCGAGACTGAATACTCTCTGGTGATGACATTTTAATTTACGTGATGCCCGTTATAAGAGTTCCTGTATCAAAAGATATGATGGTGTAAACACTTTGAGCACAGTGGAGGTAGACAACATGAATACAAGAACCTAATACTCTGGGTACACTCATAGCCATTTAAACATCACGTGCAGTAGTATAGACGGTGGGGGTACTGGCTCACCCAACCTGGACCAGGTATAGTCTTAAATGGCGCAACATTGTAGTATTTTTATACTACACTTGCTAGTAATAGTTCCCTGTGATTATTAGGCTATGATCCTGAAACCGTTCTGACTGTAATGGATGGTTTGATTGTTACCATGACTATAGACTACATAGAATGACATTGTCCATGCTTGAACTATGTAACTATTTTGTCTTCTTTTTATTTCTATTACAATTTCTTTCTTTTGAAAGACATTGTTCACAGCTTCGTCCTGTACATGTCGCCTAAAGTTTGAGTGCTGGAAAGACAAGATAAACTTCTTTAGACCTTCAATAGAGTCTATGACATGATCGCGGCATGCTGTAAGGGACAGTTCTGTTGCAGTTTACATCGTCCAGTAAACAGTTGCTTGACCGCCAATTTACATTTCTGAAATAAACAACAAATTGTAAGCAAACTGAACGATACTGCATAAATAAAAAAATCATGTTTTGTTCGAACATCATATCCTAGTTTAATCATTGTCATAAGGACCATTGGAACTATATTAAATATACTCAGTTATTCCTTGTTTCAAGTTCATATAACAATGTCTCCATTGAGGATGCTGATTTCGTTCATCAGTAATAGGAATGGACCTCAAATGTGCCTGTAAATGACATGTCTTGTCCTTTAATCTCTGTATATAATGAAATTCGCTGTGCAGAGTTGCGTCCCTCGGGCACGCCAGAAACCTTTAATTATTGGCTCGAATCCTTGTTTGCCCAAATTCTGGGTTAGTCATTTCTTTCACCAAAGTGGTAAGGCCTGGAACCTGCATGACTTCAGGCTTTCCTCCAACCTCAAGCTGACACAGCGATATATAACTGGAGTAGTGTTCAAAGCGGCGTTAAGCCCAACTCACTCACTGTACATATTAAATATATGGGATATATCATGCACATTACATTATCATCCAATACTTAAATATGTCGTTAATTAATTCCCTTATACATGTACATGTGAATATTGTCCACAATAATTCATCCTCATTAAGTATTTTCATCTCTTATCCATGAAAATAGTCGCCATTAAATATACTCTATCATATTTGGAGGCGAGTATTAAGGCACGGCCTATCGGATAGACAACAGATAGTGCCTAACATTGAAAGCGCCACGCAGCAGCAGAGTTATCTTAACAGTGCACAAGTCACTGTGTCCAGGCTAAAGACACATCATTGACATAATGTTTGTCACTGGCCAAATGTATCATCAAAGGTTAATAATACAATTGGCCAGTAATTCCCGTGATGTACGAAGCAGCTGTCTAGTTTTTGGACCCTTTCATTTGTTGTATTCTATTATACATGTACTACGTCCAAGTTATGTGAGGTATGACCGACAGTAGGTTAGCTAAAAGTTAGAGCCACTGACAGTAACATATCGTAAATCGGGTGAACGGCCCACTTTGTGGATATGAATTAGTTATAGTATTAAAAGTCTGATACAGTCACTTATACGACAACACGTGCAATAATAGAATCGAAAAACTGTTCAGGTTATCTGTAGGATGTAGGCCCCACCATCCTTTTTTTTCAAACTAACACTGTAGAATGCATAAATCAAAAATGATATCTTCAACATATTTCTCAACATATTTCACATTGTTATGTAACCTGTCAGTGCATACGTACCAAATATGTAATACAATGCGTTATGCCACTGGAAGTACAATGGTGCCCTCATTTCGACCATGCGGTCCTTTTCTGGCAAAGTTTCTCATCGCCAACCTGTCCCAGTTAATATTATGTCCGCTCAAAGATTTTAGGGGAACAGAGGAATGAGGGGAACCTAAAGGCTTCCCTTTGCCATACTCTGAGGATAGTGCTCCATCAACACCCGTCAGACTTGCCGGTGAGGATTTGTGGTGTTGAATTTCGACTCGTTCCACTCCTCTCATGCTTGGAATCGAAAGCAGATCCGTCTGCCCCCTTCTAATTTTCGGTCTTCCAACTGAAACCTCTGAAGCTGATGTTGCTTGGCCAAAGTTTGACCTCGAAAGAGAGGGTTCATCTGGTACTGGACTTCCACTGCTGCTGGTTGAGTTTGCCCCAGGACTCTTGTTCCTCAGTGTCTTGAGTTGAAACTGAGTTACTGCTGGGCTATCATAGATTCGCGGATCTGTTGAATGCTCCGAGTGTTCTCCAACGGTCCCTTCGAACATCGACGAGAGCCCATCTACAGGGCCAGGTATGTCATGTGCGGTGACTCCTGGTGCTGGTTGAGATCCTTCAGGACCTACTCTGTCTGATCTCTGCACACTGCGCTTTCCTCTGGTGTTGTGAGGACTCCATCGTTGCTCATAGGGAAACCATTTGTACTGCTTTTGACCATATCTGAAGCAAAGGTTGAAGAAAATATATAATAACGAATTTGTTTCATTTTTAACCAAACATGGGTGTATACTTTTTTTACACGGCATTATTATTATCTACTGTCGATAAAGAACATAGCAGACGGCCTTGCCTGACAACGGTATAAGAATCTTTACCGAAACTTCGCCTTAACAGTAAATAAGAAGTTGTAATTCACAAATAATCTCTACTTTGTCATCTGTCAAACAATTCAACTGAAGAACATGCAATAAATTTTGAACTTAACCTTTCTCCCCAAATAATAATAATTGTCTGTAATCTAATATAGATATATAAGAACGTGCATTATTTCGATTTCATGCTTCTGGTTTGTTTCAAGCTTCTGACTATTTGTTATGAGTAACCTCTCTCGTCAGGAATTCGATAAGACAGTATTCGTGGTTTAACTCGGGGTTTGTGGGGTTGGTTGGTTGGTTTGTTGTTTAACGCCGCACTCAGCAATATTCCAGCTATATGACGGCGGTCGGTAAATAATCGCGTCTGGACCAGACAATCCAGTGATTGATATCATGAGCATCGATCCACGCAATTAGAATCGATGACATGTATAAACCAAGTCAGCGAGCCTGGCCACCCGATCCCGTTAGTGCCTTTTACGACAAGCATAGTCGCCTTTTACGGCAAGCATTGTTGCTGAAGACCCCGGACTCTTCACGGGTGTTGGTGTTGGGGGATTCTACCGAAAAGCATAGGCTCGTAATTTCAAAAATTGCAAAAAATATATAGTCTCAATACAAATTCCTAGATCACTATATTCTCTAGACATGTAGGTGATTGTTTAACTACCCGTAGGGATATATTTTGTAGATTGGCGAGTAGGAATGTGTTTAAAAGTGGAAATCAAAGCTCTGCAACTTTTATTGCCACATATGTTTTCCAAATTTGGTTGTCAACATATGTTGGCAACTGGCAATATCAACCCTTACCGACGTAATAAACAGCTTGCAGTCCAACATAGGATTAATATTCGCGAGAATTCCTCACTTACTGCAAAGTGATAGTGTAACACTGTAGCTTACCTGCCTAGACCAGCATTTCCAACATAATGCTGTTGTTTCGGAGGTGGTGGTGGATTTCGTGGCTGAGCTACTGGTCGCGGCTGTGCTTTAGGCAGTGGGGTTGTGGTTGTAGCGGGAGGTTTCGGAATCAGATGATGAGGCAAAAAAAAACGCACCTCCTTACGGACTGATTTAGCAGCAGCAGCAGCAGCAGGAGGGGGTGGAAGAGGAGGAGACTGGCGAGGGTTAGGCTGAGGACGAGGCACAGGCATTCTGGCAGCTCTTGATTCGTACGTCATTTGTTGAGGATAGTGTGGTTCCCGGAAGGTTTGTCGAGGTTTGTAGGGTTCATACGGTCGTCGTGGTGGTGGGTATTGCCGAGCAGGCTGTTGATACGGCTGTGCTTGCGGTGCATACTGTTGATATGATGGCTGAGGTGGTTGTTCAGGATAACCTCTTCTTGGAGGTGGCTGAGGCTGAGGCTGAGGCTGAGGCCGAGGTCGGGGCTGGTATCCAGCTGGTGGGTAGCGTTGCGCTTGTTGTCCTGGTGGGGGGTAGGCCTGTCGTTGATAGTGTTGTTGTTGCTGTTGGGGCGGGTACCGCGAATTTGCTGTAATGTAACATGTCCGATCATTATAGTCTACATATTTTATGAATGCATATACAAGTCAGATTGAACAGCAGTTAGTATCTACAAACATTTTGACATATTCATTCAAACAAGAATGATGACATGTATAGAATACAGATGTTGGAAACAACATTAAGCTACATACACAATTTACAACCTCCACCTCGGATTACACAACATCTTGCACAAAAAGCATTATATCTATTCGTCTCTATATAAAGACGTTTTCCTCATCTGCATCAGAATGACAGACATGCTTCATTTGGAGCACAGACACGGAGTTTGTTAGAGAGGTATGGTCATGCAGCATTCTGTGTGGTTCTTGTTACACTTAACCAGAGGCGGAATCTTGTTTGGGTTTTGACTCGTCAGAAGTGTGTCTCATTAAACCAGTTTATAAAGTATTTAGACAAATTAACTTCATTGGACTTGGAATATGTCTTAATTGAATGTCATTGAACAAGTAAGGATAAGATATATGGATAATCAAGTTCTTTTCATCACTTGATAGATAACGGTGACAGAACCTACATGCAAAGGTCGCTCTCAATTGTAATTAACAAGTTGTTGATCCATATGTCTTATCCTAACTTGGTACTCCAACTTCTAGATGCCTCTCGGGCGGGCGGGTAGCCTAGTGGTTAAAGCGTTCGCTTGTCACACCGAAAACCCGGGTTCGATTCCCAACATGGGTACAATGTGTGAAGCCCATTTTGGGGGTCCCCCGCGGTGATATTGCTGGAATATTGCTAAAAGCGGCGTAAAACCACACTCACTCACTCTGAATGCCTCAGAAAGATGTCATTGAACAAGAGTGAGTGAGTGAGTGAGTTGGGTTTAACGCCGCTTTTAACAGTATTCCAGTTATATCGCGGCGTGTCAGCTTAATGTGGGAGGAAAGCCCGAAGTGATGCAGGTCCCAGACGTTTACCACATCGGTGAAACCCACGAGCACGGGTATGGTGCTGGCAAACCTAGAAACATAATCGGGGCGAACCGGGAATCGAACCCACAATCATAGGTTTCTGGCGTGCCCAAGGGACGCAACTCCGCACAGCGAATCGCGGCGCCTTAGACGACTGGGCCACCCGTGCCCCCCATTGAACAAGACTAACTGTAGAACTGGAACATGAAGCTGTACATTGTGATCACATTTCTATATATCTCGTCGGACATTGCGATTGGTAATTGTCAATAAACTTAGTAGGACATACATAAGCATGACGTTATATGAGGAACAAGCTCAAATCCTGCACTCAACATTCGATGGTTTTATTCAACTACTTCATCTTCCTGTTCTTTGTTGGCAGTGAAGTCTAGAGTACAAGATGTTTGTAGTGCCAGGTTACGACTATCAGTTCATTTAAAACCCAACAGGTCTGATTCCAGATCACCTTTTTTTCTGAACGCGCATAAATGTAAGTTGCTTGAGATAAACAATATCATTCTAATTTTGCTGGGCGGTGGGGTAGCCTAGTGGTTCTAGCATTCTCTGGTCATGCCGAATAATCTGGTTCGAATCCCACATGGGTACAATGTGTGAAGCTCATTTCTGGTGATGATATTGCTGGAATATTGCGACGTAAAACCATACTCACATTCTCACTCTAATTTAGTATTTTTACCTTCTGTTATAAGGTATGCCAAACCAGTAATGAATCCATACGGTACAATTGAAGTCAGGACAGTCAGACTTACAATATGTCAGTTAACGGCATGCAAAGTGTATCTCTAAGCATGCTGAAACACCACTGGACATGCCAAATTAAATGATTTTAAAATGTGTTGATGTGACACCATGCTGCAAAAACGTTAGTCATTAGTCGTGAGTTTTGAAAATATGTTTCTTTACTGAATGGCATGCATCATAATCCTTAGCCATATCCATGCAGGTCTTGCCTGGGCGTGCATTGAAGCCCGGTGAATGTCTTGAGGATCCCACCGCACCACTTTGCTGACTCAACAACATTAACACTAGTTTATGGGTATTGTCATTGGTTCTTGGCCGGGTGTTCTTTCTTTGAGGGGATGGTAACTTGCGGACCGTGTGTTGTTGGTTATTGAGAATTGTATAGGACCCCGGAGTGCCATTACGTGTGGTGGAACGCACACCTCCTCGCCTCGAGGACGATACAGGTCGAGTGTTGACCTTTATCGGTCTCTGTACCTGTGTTTGTCCACGTGTCAGTGCTGGGCGTTTTGGGAGGTAATTGGACGTTGTTCTTGCAGACGTGGATGGTTGACGGTCGGGTTTTGTCATAGGTATCTGGCGTTGTTGATAGACATGATAAGAGGGCGCTATTTGGGGTGTGAAGGGCCGGTTCCTGAATGTGCGGGGCAGAGTCCATCTGCTTAGACGTCTGGTCCATTGGCTATTATATCGATCATTCTGGATTGGAGCTGTAAGGAGTTTAAAACTTTAAAACTTACAACTTGGAAACACTTGGAGGTTATAACATTAATGGGTCATTATCAAAATTTGTACCCATTTTGGTTCTGTTGAATGAACAAAAATAAAACTTGAAAACTGCAACTATTAGTGATTAAACAAGAAACATTAAAGCTTAACAAAACAGTTGGGTAAATTATGTTTACACAAAGAATCATGACTTTGCCATATATTGAATATACAGGGACAACAGTAGATATTTATTTCCTTGGTGTAACCATTATAGTTACCAATATTTTGCTGAGAAAAAAATAAATACAAAATTTATTTCAGTGTATTGTTGTAAAACTAATGTTTTACACTGCCTGGAACAAAAAAATAAGTTCACTTTTACATTCACCACGTTTTAAAGCCTGGTTCATCATTCTTGTGATAAATAGAAACAAATATTGATCATTCTCTTTGTCTGTGTCCCAAACACTAATAAGATGATTGATATAATTTCAATATTCTTTATTTATTGAACATTTTCTTTGTACTTTTGAAAGTCATGTCAAGCAATATGCGTTTACCTGAATCAGTTTCAGAATGTCCTCTGGTAACATTAAAGACAACACGGTTACACCAAAGACAAGGCGGTAACACCGAGAACATTACCATTACTCATAACGACTTTTAGTTGGTGTTGCATATTTGCAATGACATCAGGCATTTTTTTTCACGACGTTTACTTTGAAGTTAATACTGCTGACTTGTGGTAACACTGATGACATATAAAGTAACACCAAAGAAAATTAGTGATTATAAAGGGACCTAAGTTAAGGTGTTTTTTTATAAATGTAAATGTTAATAGGAGTTAAGACATGTTGGACCCATTATCACTAACTTCAAAGTTATTACTTGCTTACTTTTTGTAACACAAGTGACATATTAAGTTATACCTAGGACATAAAGCTTAATCTAACCATAAGTTAGAGAGTTTTAAAAAGAATATAAAAATTTAAGTGTTAATATGATTTAAAAATTGTAATTTCAAAGACATGTTTTAACCATTGTCCATTCACATTAAATAACATCTGACCAAGGACGTATTAAGTAGCACCAAAGACATATTTTCATTCAACATGAAATAATTAAATTTTCGTTGTGTTGTGAAATTCCTGCATTCTGATTAGCTGAATTGGTCACGCGGATTCATACAGTTGGCATGTCGGTTTTTCGATTCATACTCCAATGAACCGAACATAATACACATTCATTCATTCAATAAAATACAAATGACTGCTCCCTTGGCAGTGTCCGATAACATTCATGACCAGTACATTTAACTCTTTAATTCTTCTATTATACATGTAAGGATTTTTCTTAAATTCTAGAGTTTTCTTTATAACACGGTTACACCAAAACATGAAACTTTCGTGAGGTGATTCTTGGTGTTACCTTTTCCAGATTGAATAAAGTTTTCTTCCGTTGAATGAAAAACATTTTCTCGTGGAAGACAACCATAAGGGGGCATTAATTTACCTCCTCTCTTCATAAAGATGGACAACTTTAACATCTCATTAAGCAAATGGTAACACCAAGGACAGAAACCTTTTAGACAGGCATGCATTACTTAGTTTCCGTTGTTTAGGGACAAATACAAAGAGGAAACGTTTGTTTTATTATCAAGACTCTAATCCCATTCAAATAACACCAAAAACTCATGTAGATGAGATATGATTTGAAAGATGATCACTGTAAAAAGCATTCTGGGTCTATTGACAGTGATATTTCAACAATTTCAGATTATGTACCACTCCACTACAAGCAATTTAAGCACTGACAAAGTAGATGTCCGATGATATATTATAATTTGGTTCCCAACTAAAATACAAGGGATGAGATGTTATCTGAAACGTCATGAAAGATAAAGATTATTGACATACAAAGGGCACACAGGTTGATAATGACCCAATTGTATACAAATTTCATTTATTAAAACATTTAAATAGCAGACATGATTTGCCTGAATGTAACGATCATATGAAACCACTACCCCTCTCCCTCTCTGCCTTCTCTTCGCAAAATGTTCGCATTCCTCTTACACATTCTGGAATCCATTTTGGATGAATTAAGTAGTGTACACTTTTGATACAAATATGCGATAACGTTTTTCTGTATCAAAATAAACATTCACTAGTAAGAAATGCTAAAAACATTTGCAGGCATATCATTATCAAAATCCGTTTTGTATTAGTAGACTTTCATGCAGTGAGGGGAAAATACATTATACCTCTCAGTTGATTTTAGCAAATTTTGATTTTCAATTGAAAATATCTTAACTTAGCAATATCATATAAACACATGAACTGTACTGGCGCTAAGTCAGGACTCAAAGAATACGTCTACATTGTTTATTTTAAAAAAAATGAAATTTGATATAAAACTGTTAAACACTAAAAGAAATAATTCGAAAAATACAACTGCTAGTGGGAATCTCAGATCTTATCTTATCTTTGAAAATCAACATGAAGTTTTGCAAACATTTTAATCATGGTAGGGGTTGAAAATTCATCTCTTACCCCAGTCTTCATTGAACCAATATATT